TACTCCAGTTTGCAAACCTCAGCTCTAAAGAATGGCGGCGCCAGCATGAAACTAAGTAGAGATGGGGTTGAAATTCTTCTCTAAACTGGGTTATTCTAAAAGTTACATAATTTTATAAATAATACCTAGCTAACTTCAAATTTTTAATTCCACTCATGATTAACAAATATTTGGGGAGTTCTTTCCCCCGTCTCACCGCCTCACCTGATGGAAGAATAGGGGAAAGGCACGATTCACAGATGTTCTCCTCTGCAAGGAAACACACACACTTGAGATTACACAATGTTTGTATTTGCTTTGTCTCTTCTGAAAGCAGGGATACAGTTAAAATATGATGATTTCAATTTTACCCACCATCAACCAGAATGCCTTTCATTTGAGTCCGATGCATTTTCTTCAGTAAAGACAGAGAGTCAGCTACAAGAATCTTCTTGCAGCCTTCACGAAGCAGAATCTGAAGGACACATTGTAAAAGAAAAGCCATCTCAACAAGACTCAAGTATGGGGAGGGGACCCTCATATTGGGTTTTCAGAAAACTGCTGTTTGAAATACTCCAAGTAGGCACCCACTGGCCCCCTACACACACACTCTCTTCCCTCCAAACCACTGCTTGCCCTGCCTTCCCAGCCTCCATTCACTCATGACTCTGCATCTATTTTTAATGAACATACAGTGGTTCCTGTAGTGCTTATAAAATCAAATACCAATTCCAACCCCTACTGTTGTCTTATAGGTTTTCCTAATACAGACCTCAGGCAGAGTTTGACCCCTACATGACCTCTTTGGCCCAGGACAGAAAACCTGCTATTCCAAAATCATTTATTTCATAAATCCATCTACTTACTGCACAAATATGTACCGGGTGTCTACTACGTACAAGGCACGGGGAGGGCACGGAGCAACAGACTGAACAGACGTGCTCTCTACCCTAAACCTCCTCCAGGGTGCAGCCTGTCTTCCTGTCCTTCCAAACCCGACCCACACCACTTAGCAATGAACATGGTGTACACAGCATAACTGCCTACATTAACCTTCACATCTGGGGATTGATCCGTAAAGGGCTGGCAACTGAAAAATAACCATGGAAATTAAATATTCTGTCTCAAGATTGTCTTATTCTTCATCCTGGTACTGTACATTGTTTCTTTATGCATTTTTCCTGCTACTTCGTAGGCTTATTCATTTTCCCTCTCTACTTGGAGAATTATGAGTCACTTCAGCAGCCTCGGAAGTCAGGGTGCACACAGCAGAAGTCAAAGGCCCATTTCTGATTGATACCAACTTTGTGTTTCAGAGGTGGGGGCCTAACGAAGACAAAAATTGCCCACACCTGCTTTTATGCAGGTGAGAGGTGACATGCCTCACCTTTCAAACCCATTCAGCTGTCCACGGTGTGAGTTTCACCCTTTTTGGGTTTTCTTAGGTATTTTATTGGAAATTGGGAATAGCTCTGCGAGGTGTGTTTAAGCCAGATTTTTTGTTTGTTTGTTTGTTATTTTACCAGAACTTGCTGCTTTTCAGGGAGAGAGACACTCAAGGCCAGAAGAACTGAGAGGCTCTGGGGCAATGCCTGTGGCCTCCTCTTCTGACCCCAAAGTATCTTATTACACANAGTTATTGTATTCTTCAGCTCTGCTTGGTTCTTTATTATACTTTCTAAGTCTTTGTTGAAGTTCTTCCTAAATTCCGTCACTTCCACTCTCAAGTTAGTGAGCATCCTTATGACCATTTCATTTAATTCTTTACCAGGCAAATTACTTGTCTGATAGAGTTTATTTCTGGGGATTTTTCTTGTCCTTTCATTTGAGAACTATTGGTCTATCATTTTCTTTTGATGGACTTCCTATGTGTGTTTATATAAATTAGATAAAACACCTAGCTCTCCCAGTCTTGAAAAAGTAGCCTTGTGTAGAAGTGGGCTCTGTGCAGGCTGCCAGGTGGTTCTGAGCTGTGCCTATGGCATCTGGGCACTGGCCTACCAAGCTGGAGCGGCTCTGGGTGGGGAGGCCCGGCAGGGTGGCAGTGCCCTGATGATCCTGCTCACTCCCTTTGAGCTGAAATGGGCTCCGGTGATGTGTCTGGGAACGCACTTCAGCGACCTTGCAGGGAGGTCAGAGCACCTGCACAGTGCGGCAGCCCTCCCTACAGAGGTGGAGGGGTTTGTAAACAGCGGTGCTCACTGACACCTCCAGCCCAGGTAGTTCCCATAGCGCAGAGCTCCAGGTTCCCAGCCTTCTCTATTCAGTCTTCTCTCATTGTTGTCCAGAAGCACTTCATTCACCACTCGGTTGCTCTCAGGAGTAACTTCTCTCTATATATGTGTATATTTCAGTTTGTTCATGGGAGGGGACAGTTCAGCATCCTCCTATGTCACTGCTATCTTGGACCTCTATCTTAAACCAGTCTTAATATAACAGAAGTCCAATTGTAGTTATATGAACTGCCTTAGGAGGATTACCTATTTATAAATGCATTCCTGAGTTGGGGTGGTGATCAAATGCAAACCAGGTATTACAATTGTGTTGGTACGTGAGTCACAGGTTACTTGCTTGGCCTCCATGTCAGTTACTACAACTACAAACGAGGGACAATTTCATAGCAAATGCAACAACGTTTCTTAAAAATTAGAATCAGTATGTGTATGTGTGTTCCCTCCTCCTGAACCTCCCCTCCCCCACAGAATTGTTACACGCCACACACTGAGGTCAGTTTTGTGGGTTTATGAAGAAGCTTTCTGCCAGATCACCTCTTGCCTGTGCCAAGACCATCCGCTGACTTCAGGGAATAGCTGGGTTAAATCCTAGGTTGTGACACTACATTGTACTGCACTTCTGCAAGAATTTAATCTAACTACACAGTGCAGGTGTATGCAGTCTCTTTCTGTTAAAACACCGCCTAAGACACTATGAAAGCTCACTTCTTTCCCTGTGCCCACTGCAGTTTTTAACATAAGCACTTAAAATCCAAACCTAAACTCAAAATGGATTAAAGACTTAAATGTAAGACCCCAAAGCATAAAACTTCTAGAAGAAAATATAGGCAGTAAACTCTCTGACATTGCCTTTAGTAATATTTCTTTGGATATGTCTCCTCAGGTGAGGAAAATACAAGAAAAAATAAACAAATGGGGCTACATCAAACTAAAAAGTTTTTACACATCAACAAAATGAAGACAATATACTGAATGGAAGAAAATATTTACTAATGATACATTTGATAAGGGGTTAATGTTCAACATTTATAAAGAACTCACATCNGTGAGCCCGGCCTCCGGCGTCAGACACCCCCTTTCTCCTGAGGATCCTTCAGATACTACAGGGCACTCGTTTACTCCCTGCGGCAAAACCTACCCACACCCTGCCACTCTGAGGTGCTGAGCCTCTTCCATCCTTTCTGAGGATGGCTGAGTTATTGACTGAGGCTGTCCAACCCAATAAAAGTGAGTCTTTCACACGGGCAGAGCTAACATTTATTCAGTCAACGAGAGCCGAGTGCCTGACAGCGTCAGACACCTCCAGGCATGAGGACATACAGAACATGAGATGGGTCAACATAAAAACTGCATGACGCCAGCCTGCTAGGATAGTCCCAGATGTCGCTGAGTAAGTGACAACTCACACAATGGCTCATTAAACGCCTATTAAGAAGATAACTACAGCTGATGACATATAAAAACCCACTATGTGGGAACGGCTGCCAGCAGAGCCCATGGCAGGTCCAGTGCTGCAGGAGCTGGCTGCACACCTGTAAGGGCGTCGCTCACACAGCTGGAACAATGCTCCACAGCTCACTTTACGGACCAAGAATTTTACTATAATGTAAAAATTCATTTCCAACTTCCAGACTTATACGTTTCCACTCCTAAAGAAAGAATGAGCCAAACAAATAAACGATGAAACGCTGACCGTGAAGCCAAATGTTTCAAGGCCATGGATGGAAATCACCTACCATTTTTATCACCTGCAAAGAGAAAGCTCTAGTAGCCAGGAAAAGACGAAAATGCTTTTTTTCAGCATGACATAAACCTGTACACAGCTCGTAATGGCACTAAACGCTTCTGTTTGTTGCAAAACATGTCTTCAAGGGAGTGGTAAAGGGAGTGGCAGAGAGAACGAGCTATTTCTTCATCTCCAAAATGGCGCTCCCAGGGCCGCGGTGCTTAGCATGGCAGATGCTGCAGAACTGCACAGGTGAGCTCTAAAAGAATGATTGAAAACACAGATTAAACAAACCTCTTTCTACTCTCAGATTCAGAAATGTTATGGGAGCACTGGTCAGGGGGCTGGGCGGCAGCTGTGAAACGTCACTCCTTTTCCTGGAGGTTACTGCTGCTTCACATGGGATTCCATCTAGAACAGCTGTCATTCTGTGACTCAAAGGACACCTCCCAGTAAAACAAGCCTAATGAAACCTGGAGGAAGGACCGCGACATGACACTAAAAACTAGAAGCATCATGATACAGAAATCAGGTTGAGAAAGACGTAGAAAACAAAATGGTGTTCCCATCTCTATCGCTCAACGGTCATCAACTTGACCTGAACAAACACTTAACACATTGTGGACCGGTGACGCAAATTTGCATCTATACATTTAAATGCCCCATTCTCAATGTGTTGAGTATGTTTTTATACTGTATAATTTTGAGAACCCAGAGAGCCCTCGGGTGACAGGCCACTTCC